AAAGCCGAGCTGCAGGTTCCTGGCCTCACCGTGGGCTCCAGGGATGGGCCTGCATAGTTTGGAGTTAAGGTCTTTTAGGGGAATTCGCTTGGGGGTAGGAAGACTCTGGTGGAACACTAGTGAACCCCTGTAGTTACACAGATGTAATATCCAACTGAAAATGTAGTCAAATAGCCCAAATACCAGTGCTTCTGACCAAGACATCAACCTCTGTGTTCATGCTCATTTGTTCAGTGTTCATTTCCGAAAGGGTTGTGTGTTTAGCAGAATGGTATCCAGAAAAGCTGGCTCCCATTAGAGTTTTCTTTCTCACTTTCACTTTCTCCCTAAATCTGAGCTGAGACTTGCGAGAACTGCCCTGCGCTGTGCAGACAGTGGGGTCAGTGGTCAGCAATTTGGGGCAGTTGTTTGGAGGACCTACAATGAAGTGTGGTGGGCTCGTGAGGGAAAAATGTGCTCGAAAGGGAACGTGACTGCATTTGGAATCCTGGTTGGAGTGACACACTGGTTACAGGGATCCTGAACACATCACCCTCTTGGATGACATTGTTCCAGAGCTTCAGAGAATAAGGACACGGCCCTTTATGCATCAACCACTGCCCGCGTGTAAAGGAGCCTCTTGTGGACATCCACAGTACACACGCACACCCAGACACTCACACACACATGCACACAGGCACACCCAGACACACACACAGCACACAGTACACACACACACACTCACCCAGACACTCACACACACACAGCACACACATGTACACATGCACACCCAGACACACACAGTACACACCACACCCAGACACTCACACACGTACACACACACAGTACACACCCATACCCAGACACACACACACACAGGCACACCCAGACACTCACACACACACAGTACACACACACAGTACACACCCACACCCAGAAACTCACACACATACACACACACAGTACACACCCATACCTAGACACTCACACACACACACAGTACACACCCATACCCAGACACTAATAGGTGCACAGTACACACCCACACACAGACACACACACACAGTATACACCTATACCCAGACACTCACACACACACAGTACACACACACATTCACACACACACGTACACACACACAGTACACACCCATACCTAGACACTCACACACACACACACACACAGTACACACCCATACCCAGACACTAACAGGCACATAGTACACACCCACACACAGACACTCACACACACACAGTACACACCCACACACAGACACTCACACACACAGTACACACCCACACACAGACACTCATACACACATAGTATATACCCACACCCAGACACACACACGTAATACACATCCACGCCCAGACACCCATGCATACACCTAACATCATGCACACCCACTCATGCACACACACAGCATATACCTACATCCAGACACTCATGCACACACATAGCACATGTGCACATAGGTGGACACAAGTTCATGCATACACACACACACACAGACCCAGATACCCATGTTCACACACAATGCACACGTGTACACACGTGTACACAGGTTCGTGCATACACTCGTACATATCATACGCACATGTGCACACACGTGTGCACTAACACACATAGCCACATGCAGTACTTCCTTCAGGCCTATTTGGGGCTGTCTCCTCTGCCTGGACCATCCTGACCTGCCCACGCCTCCCAGTGCCTCACCTGACTGGTCCCACGCACGCCTCAGGAGAGGTTACCACAGTGCATTCTAATCACCAGTTGACTATCTCCGGCTCTGACTTTCTGGTTCACTCTGAGATGTAAATAGTGGATAAGATCTACTGTGCCTCTCCTGGAATGTACATGACACTAGTTCTGGTGGGCTGGCTGTGGAATGAAGCCTCTGGCGTGGTCCCCAGGAAGGAGAAGGAATTTAAGGGGCAGCCTCAGGAGGTGGCATCTCTGAACTGCACTTGTCAGAAGTTACTTTCATGTCTTACTCTGAAATCCCGGGGACCAGAACGTGCAGCACTGTTCTAACCCACAGCCTGGCAGGCTCCCCACTGGGACAGTGTCTTCCAAATCTCATGTGTCCTCTTCCTCTCCTGAGCAAGAATACGGAGCTGGCCTGTATTAAATGCTCAATTTTTTTTATTTTTTTTTTTATCCTCACCCTAGGATATTTTCCATTTTTTGTACAGATAGAGTGGGAGGGAGAGAGAGGAAGGAGAGAGAGAGAGAAACATCGACGTGAAGGGACACATCGAGTGTCTGCCACCCACACGACCAACCAGGGCCGGGGACAAACTGCAACCGAAGTACGTGCCCTTAGCGGGAACCGAACCCGGGTCTCTCCGGACCGCAGGCCAACGCTCTAACCGCTGAGCCAAACTGGCCAGGGCACAATTTTTTTTTTTTTAATGTAAGTAGAGAACTTGATCCAATTCACCGTGACCTTCTCTTGTGAGCTGTGCCCACAGCCCCCCGGGCATACCCACGTCCCCTGCCACTCGTGGGCTCTGCTCCAGCTGGGCCACACTGAGTTACCGTGAGAGAAGGAGATGAGTGACTGTGGCAAGAGGTGGGTCAGGCCAAGCCTGGGACCAAGGTGCCAACAGTGCCCTCAGGGCAGGGTCAGGCAGGAGGCGTGTGGTGGGGAGCAGAGAAGAGGAAGCTGGGCAGAAGCGCTAGCCACAGCTGGCGGGTTCGGTGTTCACCTCCAGGGCCCAGGCTTAAAACCCAGGTCCGACCTGAGAGACTGGGGTGACTCCGGCAGGCCTCCTGGACGAAGCCTAACCTCCTCCTAAGCGTTCACACTCATGCCCCACCTGTTTTCTCATCCGCCTTTTCAGCAGCTGCTCGGCCACGAACCGTGGTCCCGGCCGCTTGGATGGCTCAGGGCACCAGGCGAGCGCTCCGTCATCACACCTTCCAGAGGCAGCCTCTCTGCCCAGAATGCTCTCTGCCTGGAAAAGGACTTTCTCTGTGAGGCCCAGGTTAAATGCCCTGTCCTCTGTGAAGCCCTGCATGGCCCCCTCTGGTGGTCCACCTGTGTGCTGCAGGGGCGTCCACCCCTTGCTGCTACAGCTCTCCTCCGGCTGGACCCAACAGAACCAAGCGACCATCCACTAATTTGTTCGGGATGTTGTATTTGCCCAGCCCCTCCTGGTGTACCAGCAGCTGCCCTGGGCACCGACGAACCAAAATTAAACAGAACATGCTCTCAAAAGGCGCAGGGTAGTCCCAACACATAAACACCAGGCCACTAGACTCGTTAGAGCCATGAAGCCCAGCAGGACTATTCTCTGCTTAAAACCTTCCCTTGGCTTCCCTTTGCATCTGAAAATAGACCAAAGCTCCTCCTCTGCTGCCGGGGCCCTCTGATCAGCCCTGTGGTCTTGCTCACCTGCTAAGCCTGCCCATGGCTCTCCAGGCTTCAGCCCCCGGCCTCCCCTGCTGTCTGAACAGCAAGCCCCTGTCTCAGGACCTCTGCAGTGGCTACTCCCCTGGATCACTCTTCGTCCACTCTTTCCTGTCCTGGAGTCTCAGCGCACATGTCACAGTCAGAGTCACCTTGTTGACCACCCTCTCTGTCACCAGGAATGCCTACAACCCTCGCCCTCGATCAGGTGAACTGCCCTTGTTTGTTTTCGTGTTTGTTTATTCAGTTGCTCGGTGTTTCTCACAATTACCAGCTCCAAGGGAGCTTGGTTTGCTCACCATGCTGTGCCCAGCTCCGGGAATAAGGGGGGAATACGGGTTGTGGAACGCCACCGGGCCCAATGGGCCAGCCTTCAGCTTGAGCTCCCACAGGGACAGCAAGTTATTTCACTTCTCTTAGCACAGGTCCCTCGCCTGTCAAAAGGGGGCAAGGAGCTGCCTTGCAGGGTCGTTCTGGGGGAAGACATGGCGCTCGGAAACCCTTGGCCCACGGCACCTGTCGCACGGACACGGAGCAGTTTAACGAGAGAGGGAGAGTGCCAGCCAGTGGGCCCAGCGCCTCTGAGCCAAACACCACGGGCTCTGCTCTCCCTGGAGCCGCCCCCAGATTCTCCACGAAGTGCAAAGGCACTGGGGTTTGAGGACAAGTGTCAGTTCTAACTGCAGACTCCCAGCCTCGTATCCAGTGGTAACAAGTCACCTCAACATATCGGTTCCACTGGCACCTTCATTACCCCGGCCTGTAGAAATCCGCTGCGTCTCCCTCTCCGCCCCTCCTTCCTCCTCTTTCATCAGAACTCGCGGGCCAGTAAAGGTACCGATCCATACACTGAATGACCGATGCACTGCGAAGGATCTGATAGAAAAATAGCAGGACTTGAACTAAAACTGAAAGTGTGAGCTGCCCAAGACATTGTCTGTGGACAGAGGAGGAGAGCTGGGTTCTGCCTGGAGCCTCGTGGCTGTTTCGAGAAGCTCTGGAGCAGCCGGCCTGGAGGAGAGGCCGTGGCCAACCTCCCAGGAACTCACCCGCCCCTGGCATGAGGGGCGGCGCAGCACGCAGGGCCCGAGGCCATGCCAGTCCCCGGCGGCCGCTGTGATGAACCACCGTAAGTGTAGTGCTTAAAACAACACACGTTTAATGTTTTACAGCTCTGGATGGCAGAGGCCTGCAACGGGCTTCGTGGGACTGGAGTCAGGCTGTGGGCAGGGCGGGTCCTCTGCAGGCGCTCGGGGAGAAGCCGTTCTTGCCTTTCCCAGCTTCTACAAACCACCTGCACTCGCCGGCCCACAGCCCCCTTCTCCAGCTTCAAAAGTAGCAGCACAGCATCTTCCAGTCTCTTTCTGATTCTCGCCCGACAGGTATTGCCATCCTCCCCGCTCCGCCTCGTGATCCAGGATGGTCTTCCCATGTCACGGCCCTTGGCTTAATCACACCTGCGAAGTCCCTTTGCTTGTAAATAGCATATTCGCAGGTTCTGGGGATCGGGATGTGGACCCCGGTGAAGGGCATCACTGCCTACCACGGGCCCTGAGCAGGATGAGCTTGGCTGGGCGGCACCAGGCTGGTGCTCTGCCTCCTGCCTCCCTACCGACTCTGTTCGAAGTAGAACTCGGTGCGGGCGGAGGGTTCAGTCTCCTCGGCAAGTTGCACCGGCTCCTGGGGCTCAGCCGGGCCGCAGAGAAACCAGCCAGGCCAGGCAGCAGCCTCGAGCCTGAAGCCAGAGCCCAGGCTTCTCCGGAAGAAGGTGAAGCGAGTGGCCTGCTCACCGCCCTTGTACAGGTCCTCGATGTTCACATCCTGTGGGGACACGCGGTCAGCTGCAGGATGAGGCTGCTGGGAAAGCTGTCAGCCCTGCAGGCCTCAGGGCTTAGCCAGTGAGGGACTGGCCAGGGGGTCCGCCCCTGGGAACTGCCTCCTGCGGGCCTGGAGGGCAAGGGTCTTGGCACTGGGTGCAGAGGGAGATGGCGGACACCTGCCGGAGAGGGACGCATGGACCTGGCAGGGCACCTACAGGTGGGAGCAGAGATCCCAGAGCGTCCGGAGAGACAGGCAGGTTTATAGGGTCCCCCAGAACAGGACGTGTCTCACCTCCAGCTTCAGGGAAGGCCCCTCCCCTGTCTCCACACACGCCAGGCAGCGCCTGCCTCCCTGGATCCCCAGGAAGATGGGGAATTTGGTGCGGTCCAGGCCTCTGTTGGGAAGGATGCAGATCTTCTCTGGGAAGGAAGAGAGGAGAGAGCCAGGACGTGAGGGGACCACGTCGCAAGCTCTCAACAAACTAAGTTCGGGCAGGAACCGGGCCAGGGCACAGCGGGCCCGGGCCCTGCGTACAAGCTGCAGGATGAACTGGCACTCCTGCAGGGTCATGACCCCGTCACTAGGAGAGGCCTCAGTGGTCCCCTGTCTCTTCTCCCTGTGGCCAGAGGCAGGAGGGAAGAGGGGGAGCCCGTGGCAGGTTGAGCTGGGCGGGCCCCCGCCGGTGGGGTTCCAGGGCTCACCTGCACAGCAGCTGTCCACACCGGGGTCTCCCACCAGGAGCTGGTCATCTCTTATGTACAGCACCTTCTGCTCCGCATCCTTGATTCTGGAACAGGATGGCAATGCTGACCGCCCACGCCCTTCAGGCTCCACGGAGGCCCAAACCCCACCATCTGATTACCACCCGTGTGGGGATTCTTCTCCTTCTACAGGGGAGAAGGGGCAGGTAAAGACCAGGTCATCTGAAGGCAGGGAAGGCCTCCCGGATCTGGTCAGAGGCTGCGCCTCCTCCCTTTCCAGGGCTTGGGCTGTGTCAGGGCTTTCGGGGCTCAGAGGGGAGAACACTTTCCTGACAACGTCGCCCTTTCCCGCGCCTTCCGGAGAAGTTTCTTCATGAGGCTGAGATGTCTCTGGGATAGAGTGAGCCTTATCCTGGGTTTTCTGGACCTGCCTCAACTTTTCAGAGGTGTTTCTTCTCTTATTACAGGAACCAATCGAGTGTCCAGTGAAGTGTGAAAGGCGTTTTAATAGAAGAAAATCCACAAATGGGGAAAAAAATTCCTGTGTGATGGTAACTATACCACATGGCTCTCTGCAGCTGACAGTGGGCTCTGGGGCACCCTGGTATGGGTGCCAAGTAAGGGGGTCAGCAGAGAGCTGAAGCGAGCCTGATGACAGTCCCGGGCTCGGCCGTGGTGGGATGGCTGGCCCGGGAGGGTGGCAGTGTGCCCGGGGCTGGGGAGAATCCCTGGTGAGCCAGCCTGTGCAACTTCAAAGCCACGCGGGCTGTGAGCTCAGCCGCCCGGCTGGTTCCGCAGAGGTTTGCCAGCCCTGGGCAGGCCTGAGGAGCCTTCCTCACTTTCCAGGGCGGGAGCCCTGGGCCAAGGCCACCGCCTCCGGGGAGTTTCCTTTCTCAGTAACAGCTCATTATAATACCCTTAGCTAATCACTGCAGGTGTTTAAAGCAAGTTCACTTATACAATAAAAAATAAAGATCTAAGGAGGCTGGACTTGCCAGCTGGTCCACCGTGACTGTCTGTAATGCACCTGTCAGCAATGACCTATTTGGAGACCTGAACCCAAGCCAGGTACCCCCAGGCAGGCATCTGTCTTGGCATTGGTATGCTTCGTGCCCGTGTCCTGCCTTCCAGCCGAGTGGTAACTTCCTGGGGCCCCAGCTGGCCCCCATTCCGGACCGGATGCCCCTGCAGGAGCTAAAATGGCCCCCGGAGGCCAATGTATTTTATTTTCATTATGTCCCATCTCTTTCCCCAAGGGCTGGAGGTACTTTACATTAAAAATCAGACAGTAAAGAGTAAACTGTAAGTAAACACCCAAATGTCGAATGAGATAAAATGCAAGTGAGACTCGGAATCCCAGACGAGGAGTAAAGGCCACAGAGGCCAGCATATAAAGGTGCTGTCAGTGAGGCTCAAAATGGTCCCCAAGCTTCTAGGGAGAGGATGGAGCAGCACAGAGACTGCGCCTGGGTCCTGGCTCTGGGGAACATTCGGCAATGTTTTAACCTCTGAGCCTCAGTTTTCAGATCTGTAAAATGGGCTTAGTAACACCCCCTCAGAGACTTCTGAAGGCGGAGACAAGACAGTAGGTTGATTGGCACCTTGCAGACACTCAGGAAAGAGAGCTATTGTCATTGGGGTGACGATGGAGCTTAATTGTGGGGCATTTGAGGTTTCTAGGGGGAGAAGGAGGCTTGTCCTTCGGAGTCAGCCCCTATCCCTCTCCTGCGTCATTCCCAGGCTCCTGACCAGGAAAGGGGGGACTCACATGTAGTATTTTGCCATGGGGAGGGAGCACATTCCTGCAATCCGAGGTGACTGGTCCCTGCTGAGGGAAAAGAGAGAAGGGCTGTCAGCTGGGGGCAGACACCTTGTGTGCCCCGACTGCCCCAGTCACAGGTAGAAGGGCCCACAAAACTCTGTTCCCCAGAGTCCACCGAGGTCTCCCTGGCCCCACACACTCCGGGCACCCAGGCCTCTCTCATTTGGGGGCCATCTGTGAACAAGTCAAGCTGGCTGGGTGTGAGCTTGTGCCCGTGCCCTGGTGCCAGCCCTGGGAGGTCGGAGTACAAGTTCCTCCCAGTCTTTTCTCCAGGAGCCCTTCCCAAGGCTGCGCCTGGCGTGGGTGGCCTGTCGCCTCACAGCGTGAGGATGAGCAGGCTCCCACTCTGTCCCACTCCCCAGGGGCGTAGAGCCACCCCGTCCACCCTGCCCTACCTAGCGGGGGGTGGGGACCCGGCACTGAGGGACAGCAGGCACCCTGCAGAGTTAGACGGCATTGTTCCCAGGGACTGGATCGCCTGGCCGAGACTGAGACGAGAGACGACCCCAACCGACAAGCACCCCCACCTACACCACGTGGGAACAGGACACCACGTGGGAACAGGACACGTGAGGTATAGACACCTGCGTTTTTGAGGATGAGTGATGGAGACTGAAGCCAGTGTCCCCGTAGGAACCCCAGACCACAAAGCCCCACACGACTTCTCTGCTTCCAGCCGGGTTATCTGCGCCGGAGCTGTTCCCTCAGACGACCTCCCAGAAGGCTGGTCTGGAACCCAGCCTGGGAAAACCCAGAGCAAACGAGGGCACGAGGGGGGTGAGGGGGGAAAATGGCCCAGAAAACGGAAATGCAAGGATGGCTAGGCCTGAGGTTACCGAGCAGATGAGGTCCCACTAAGAAGGGAGCAGAGAGGAGAGCAGAAAACGAGAGGGCTGGGAAAGGAGGGGCAGAAGGCAGGGCTCGGAGGGGGAGAGGCCGGCGAGGGGCAGGTGGGCGCTGATGGACAGCTTCCAGCCACCGCGGCGGCGCCAGCTCCGCGGCCTGGGGCCCGGGCCCCAGAAGGAGGGTGGACCTGAAGCAGGTTAGTGCTGCATCTGCCTCTCGGTCCCTTTGGACGACCCATTTTCTGTCCCTGTCAAATACCAGCCGCAAATAACCCCGGACATCCCCCATACTGTTTGCACATCACCCCGTGCGACCCTCTTCTCGGTCTCCCACACATTGTGCGCATGATCGTGTTCCCCAGGACTGACATGAGCTTCTGTGGTGCCAGATCTAGCCCCTCTCGATCCCTGTGATATTTGGCCGCTGCCCCTCGAACCCTTGGCATTGATCGCCTCCCTTCACACCTCTCCATGTCCTCTTCTCGGATGCTGTAGATTCTCCCCTGCTTTGGGGAGCAACTCTCAGGCTGGAAGCCACGAGTCAAAGTCCTAAGCTCTTCTCTTTCTTTTCCCAGAGAGTTTTTTGCTTTTGTTTACACACACACACACACACTCACACACACATATATACACACATATATATTTTTCCCCATTTATCTTCAAATAGAGTGGAAAGGAGAGAGAGAGACATTGATGTGAGAGACACGTCGACTGGTTGCCTCCCACACGACCCTGACCAGGGCTGAACACCGAACTGCAATCAAGGTTCACGCCCTTGGCCAGAATCAGCCCACTCTTCGGTCGGCGGCCCGATGCTCTAACCATTGGGCAACCGGCCAGGGCTCCCAGAGTTTTGATTCACCCATTTCCGCAACTGCAATGATCCTGTTGGTCTACGGCCCCCAAGCCCAGACTGAACACCCCAGTTTATCTCTAGCAGCCTACAGGACAACCCCTCTGGACATCCTGCCGTCACACCCAACCCAATATCCCTAAGGTCAAATGAGTCGCCTTCTCCCCATCCCCAGACCGTTCTCCCTCCCGGTTCCATTTCTCCCCCTGACACAATCTTCCTCCTGCCAGCGAGACTCAGAAACCTGGGGGTCACTGGCCGTTTCCCCCACGTCTCCTGACTCTGTCTGATTTATCAACAAGTTCCTATAGAGTATTCTTTAAAATGCAACTTTGTTTTCTTAACAGCCATTAGAGCTGTGCCTATATTCCTGGTTTTCCTACCTTCAGTCCAGACCAACCTGGACTCGTCTTCTAAGTACTACTCTCGCCACACCCCGCCCTGCTCTAGAATCCACGGCGCCGCCCAGTCCGCCACCCTCTGGCCCAGATTCACTTGTATGAGCTTGTCTCCCTTCTCCGTGGACACTGAGCCAGCCTCCGGCAGGACACGCCCTCCCACCTTCCAGTGGGCACACTCGGGGCTGCCTTTGACCCCCGCCTCCGAAGCCCCTGCTCCTCAAGCTGTCCACTCTGACCTGACATCAGGGTCACCGAACATGGAATCACTGTCTACAGGTTACACGTCTAGTTCTGCCAAACTGGTTATCAGCTCAGAGTAACAACCCAGACATGCAAGGTCATGTCACTGCACCTGCAGTCCTGTGCCTGTAAAATCATGAAATTAGAGCATGTGGTTATTAAGGATCAGATCAAATTCCCCGTGATGCCATGACTCAGAGGTGAATGAATCTTCCCCTTACTGTTGCACCCGACTCTGCACTCCTGTTTAACATCATGGTATTGTTTACTGTTCTATATCGAGACATCTGTTTCTCTTATATATGAACATGACCTTGAAGCCATAAAGCATGGCTTGTAGCTCCGTCTGGCCCCCCGGCGCACAAAACTGGTGCTCACGGGCCGGACGCAGAACCACGCAGCAGCTTTAAATGTCGAGTTTGGGTTCAAGACCCTCTGATTCGGATTTGTCTGGCCTCCTTGGAAAGTCCCCTTATCCTGGGCCTCCAACTTGCTATTATTGGCAGAAGCGGCTGGGCAGGGCAGTACTTTTAAAAACTAAGTTTTACATTGATTTTTTACACAGAAACTTGAAAGTGCAATGGATAAAAGGGGCCACCGTTAGCTGAGTCGGGGAGTGAGGGAGACACCAGAAACCACAGTGTTTTCCTTGACCACTGGAGCGGGCACCGGGGTATCGCTGAAGAGCCCCAAACCTCCTCAAGCACTGCTGAACACCCCTGGCCTGGAAAGTTCCTCTGGCCTTACTTTCTGAAATCTAGATTAAAAATATCTAGACTCAACCTATAGCTTCTCCTCAAATCCCTTCCATGTGCCCCAGGACTCACCCAGCATCCCACAGGGTTCTGCGGACAGGACATCATGTCATCTAGAGAGTTGCCAGGAGGAGTTAAGGAAATGGGTGTATTGGAGATGTTGGCAGAGGGAGAAGAAAAGAGAGAACACTGCTTGCTCACCACTGACCTGCAGATCCTTGGTGCCTGGAAGCGCCGACCGATGTTCCCCGGGCGCCTGCCCTGGGTTTATACCATCTGGTCAGGTGGGTTGGGCTACAGCATCGTTACAATTGGCTCCAGGACGAGGAAGAAGAGCCTGGGGATTTCACAATGTCTTCAGCACGGTATAGATAATGAGAAGGTGGGGGTATTAATGAGTGTTTGATCGCAGAAGCCAGGTGCTGGGCCCCTGCTCGTAGCTACTGTCATTGACACTGTTATTGGTGGTTGGGCCACAAAACAAACAGTGTTGGGGTCAGATGTCTTCGTGTTACCTTCCCTTTGGTGCCTCGTGGGCTCCATTCCAGGCTTAAAGGTGGCCGAGGTCAGAGGAGTGTCCAAGGGGCCTAAGGGCAGCACGACCTCTGATGCCTGAAGCCAGGCCGCAGCCAGGCATCGCGAGAGTGGGGCCTGAGAGCATGGTGAGTACGACCCCATTCGAAAAGAGGAGGTGGGCATCCAATAGCTGGTATCAACTTGACGAGACAGAACAGCTGAGAAAACCCTCCTCCAGAGGACGCTGACCTTCGATCCACTCGGACGCCTAGGGCACATGACACGGTGTGAGCAGGGCAGGGGTGAACACTCACCCTGTGACAGAGCTGAACTAGTCCATCCATCTACACATCTGTCCATCCACTCATCCAGCTATCCACTTAGCTGTAGTGTTCTCTGGGGACCAATGGCCTTATTGTAATTCTGCCTCTCGGGTCATTTGCGAAGTTCCATGAAGGGCTTGGGGAGGAAGTGGGAGAGGACAGACCAACACCCAGATACCTTCAGAGTGAGAGATAAGAAGGTGGGCAGCACTGGGACCAGATTTCTGTTTTCTAAGGCTGGTAGCCATTCCTGACCCCCTCTGTCAATCTCGTGTCCCTCTGTGTAAAGGGCCAAAGCATGGGGTACGGTTCCAGGCAATCAGTGAGTGTTTATTTAGCATTCACATCACTGTACAGCAAAGACGTACAGCACAGGGTCCCTGTTACTTAGCTTTATAGTCCAGCTGGGGGGCTAAGCCATAAACACTTGAAAAGACAATTAAAAACACCAGACTGTAATCTGTGGACTACGAGCATATTATGTTAGAGACAATACAGACAGATAATTTTCTTGAGTAAAAAAAAACAAAAAAAAAAACAAATTTCTAGAATTTTAAGGGCCTTAGACATGACATAATTGGCGCTACAACATCCCTGAGAAATAGGCTAAGCGGGGGACCCTCACAACCTCTTGGAGAAACCCTAACAGTGCATGTGATCCTTATGGTTAAAATTTTCAGGTCACACAGGAGAAACAGCTCTATCTTTCCACTCACTGGTCCTGTTTGTGTTCTGCAATTACACAGAACGAGTGTGTTCTCCTACTGGCAGGACTTGGAGTGCTTGAGGGGGACCCTCTATGTATAGTTTCTTCAGGATACAGGCCCTCGGCACCTTTGCTGCTTCCCTATGACCTGGCCTAGGACTCTCTCTGCTCTTTAAGACACTATTGTCCTCAGTGCTGACAACTGGCACAGACTACACATGCTGTGGATATGCACCTCTGTAAATATTGGCTGAGGCTGGGGGTTTGAGCTGAAGTGGAAGAAATCTAAAACCCCTAGACCTGTTTAATTTGGACGTCATGAGGCCAGGACCCCTGACTCATACATATAGCATTTTACATTTCTCCCTGTTCAATCAACGTGTGTCAACCTGTAACCAAAACCAAGGTTCAGCTATCTGCCACCACAAAAAGCCAAGCTCATTAGACAGGTGCTGGTGAAAAGGGAAAGAGGTTTATTCAAGTGCTGGTCACCCAAGAAGGGGGACTCTTGTCCAAAGCCCATCTCAACATCTCAGTGCAGGCAGAGGTTTTATAAGGAAGGAGAGGAAAAGCAGAACAAAGAAATCAAGGAGAGGGTGTTGAAAAGTTCTCTATATGCACATCGGCACAATCCATTCCAATAAGGACCTTGAAACTGGTCAAGTGATGGTGTGGTGTGCGTCATCCTGGTTTTACACCATCCTGGTTTTACTGCTGAAGGTCAACAATTTTCCTGGAGCTGGGATGACTGAAGGTCAGAGTCTGTATCTTCTGAAGTTAGTTCCTAGGATTCTTATACAAACATGCTGTTTATCTGCAAGCTGCATATTAGTCAGAGTCAGTACTTACAGAAACAATGTCAAAAGAAGGGTAGAGTAGGTTATAATTCCCCACTGTTACAAGCTCATCCCTGCTAAGGCCCTTTTGAGTTCCATCATCCTACAAATGATGAAGAGCCACTTCAGCCTGGAGAAGCTCAGGAATGAGAAAATTTCAGCAGCTCCCTGAGGGTGGAGCAGCTGAAATTTAGATGGGTGGAGGAAAGAGAATGTTCCAGGGCAAGAAATGGCTTCCACATTCCACTCACTGGATTCCAGTTGCCAAACACTATGCAAGGTGCTTGGAAACAAGCTGATGCAGCCGAGACTTTAAGGTCATTTTAGGGGCCATAAACTTAATAACCCCAAGTCAACTTATTACAATGAGGGGACATTCACATAAAGCTGTACATGAGATGGTGTCAGAGCAGATGAACAGGGATCCCAACTCAGCAGAGGCTCCTTGGAAGATGTGACAATCAGGGACCATGGCTGGGCCTGTGGGCACAGAGTGTGAACTGAATCTGTAGAACATGGTGCTTGGACCCATGTTCTTGGCACAGAGGCCTGGGAGGCTGTGGTTGAAGGTCCAGGAGGCAGACCCTCTGGCCTGGCCACCCCTTTCCAGTCCCTCAGTGAAATCCAGGCTAGTCTGACAGGTGAGGAGCAGGTGCAACACCTGGCTCAGATTTGGGTCCCTCCCCGGCCTCCGCTCTCACCCCCATGGTTTAGGTGGGCACACATGGCCAGAGGTGCGAAGGTAGTCAGGGAAGAACTGAACCTCGCAGAAACAGAGACTGTTCGACGAAATGAGTATGAGCAGCTTTTAAATAGAACCTTTGGGGAAATAAAGAAGCCAACATCCATTTTGAGAATGAAAATGAAAATATTGGAGAAAAGTGCAATCATAATAAAATAAATGCATTTATTTCTCTTTCCTGCATATTAGTCATCTATTGCTGCCTAACAAGTGACCCCAAAACTTAACCACTTAAAGCACCAGGCATTTATCTTCTTGCAGTGTTTCTGAGGGTGAGTGCCTACAGCAGTCTGGCTGGGTGATTGTGTGTCACCGTCTCCCCAGGATGCAGTCGGCAGCGTCATGGCAACCTGACCAGGGCTGGAGGGACAGCGTCCACGCTCGCTCATGTGACCCTTGGCAAGAGGCTTCATTTTTCACTACCCAGGTGTCTATCAGCTGCTTACAACACGCAGCTGTTCCCCCAGCTCAAGGGAACAAAGAAAGAGAGGGACCAACGTAGAAGCTGCAGGAATTTCAGAAGTGGCACCATGTCACTTCTGCCATATTCTGGTCACAGAGATGACCCGTGCAATGTGGGAGGGGACACAGTGTGTGGACCCCAGGAGACCTGGACCATTCATTTCCTAGGGCTGCTGTGATCAATTGCCACAGACTTGATCAATTGACACACCAAGGATGTGCTCCCTCTCCGATGGGGAGACTGGGGGCCATGCTTCCCTGGAGGGTCTGGGGACAACGCCTCCTCTGGCGGCCTCGGCCAGGGCATTCTTGCCTTATTGTAGCACAGCTGCAGTCTCTGCCTCCATCTCCACACGGCCTTCTTCCCTGGGCCTCCTGTTCTTACCAGGACACCAGGCATGTTGGCTGTCAAGCCCACCCCAGTACAGCATGACCTCAACTAATTGCACCCACAAAGGCCCTATCTCCAAATAAGGTCACAGGCTGAGGATCCCAGCAGGACACAGATTTTTTTTTTTTTTTTTATCCTCACCCAAGGATATTTTTCCATTTTTTGTACAGATAGAGTGGGAGGGAGAGAGAGGAAGGGAGAGAGAGAGAGAAACATCGACGTGAAGGGACACATCGAGTGGCTGCCACCTGCACGACCAACCAGGGCTGGGGACAAACTGCAACCGAGGTACGTGCCCTTAGCGGGAACTGAACCCGGGTCTCTCCGGACCGCAGGCCGACGCTCTAACCGCTGAGCCAAACTGGCCAGGGTGACACAGATTTAAAGGGACACTACTCAACCGGCACAGGGGACCCTAGGAGGCTGAATCCCACACCCTGAAGTCTCAGGAAGCGTGACCACTCCTGGTCAAAGTGCAGGGTTTTCTTTCTGTCGGTTTCCTCCCCAGGAGACTCCAGCCCAGGCCCCCAGCCCTCCTCCTTCGCAGCCCTGCTGAGACCTGACTCCTGCTGCCGCCGACCAAAGCAGCAGCACAGCGTCCACGCGGACCGCACCCGGGGGAGTGGGAGCTGAGGACAGCTCGAAACGCCGTCCGCTCTGCTCACCTCCGGGTGAATTCTTCTGATTCTCGCACGAGTAATCCATCTTCAGTGTAGAATAATGAGAAAGGTCTATAGTCCCAGCAGCTTAAATTGAAGTAAACTCTTTCAGACTTTTTTCTGTCTCTTTTAATTAAATACATATTTTTAATTAAAATAGAATTACAAGTTATGCCACTTTGCAACTTGCTTTTCTCACTTAATGTCACAGGCATCTTTCCATGAGAATAGACACCAGCACCTTGGGTTTTCACTGCACCTTGGGTTTCAAGAGGACTGACATGCCTGCCCTCCTCGGCCTCCTGAGCAAGAGCCATTTCCTGGGGCACCACCACCCCGCTCTGCCCACGGTGACAGCTGAGCGTGGGGATGGAGAAGGCAGCTGATGGCAGCTGAATTAAAGGGAAGGGAGAAGGGGCTGGGCCTTGGCTCCCTGGCCCTTTGACCCCTTCCATCCCCTGCACAGTGGTGGTGACAAGACATCATGTGGGCAGCTAGTGGCCCTAATAGACTCAAGTTAAGACAGGGCTGGCCTGTGGGGTCCAGGGGCACTGGGCAAGTTACCATAGAGCACGAAGGAGTCCCCCTTTATACCTAGGGTCGTTTTTGCCAGGTTCCAAATCAGCAGCATCTCCCAGCAGGGAAAGAGACTGAACTACACCGATCTCAGAGGGATTCGCCCAAGCAGGAAACCAGGAGAAGGGAGAGCGTCCGTGTGCCGAGTCAATCAAGTGGGGGCCTGGGGACGTGGGGGGGGGGTGCTGGGCCTCCTCCACTTGCCCCGCCGGCTCTGCCCGGGCGGTCCTGGGGTGGGCTGCCCTAGTCACATTGCTGGAAGTAGAACTCTGCGATGGGGTGGTCCCAGGCCCCGTCCTCCGGGAGCTGGGCGAGCCTGAGGGGCTGGTCGGCTTCAGGCGCAGTGCAGAGGAACCAGCCCGGGAAGGCGGCCGACTCGAAGCTCGAGGTGAGCCCCGTGTCCCGCCTGTAGAAGGTGAAGCCCTTGGAGTCGCCGGGGCCGCGGTAGAGCTCCATGATGTCCACCGGCTGCGAGCAGAGGGCACGGCAGGCGGGGTGAGGGAGCTGCCCCGAGGGCTGGCCCGGGCCAAGGGGCACAGAGCAGGGATGACAGAGCCCTGCGGGACACGCCCTCGGCCTGGGGAGCCCGGCCCCAGGGGTCCAGCTTCTGCTGCCTGGGGAAGCCAGGGGCAGCCCACGGGACTCACCTCTAGTTTCAGAGTCGGTTCCTGCCCCGTCCCACAGGACAGACACTGGCTCCCTCCCTGGACGCCCAGGATGACTGGAGAAAGGCTGACGTCCAGAAACCGATTGGGGACAACGCTGATCTCCTCACCTAGAGGGAGGGAGCCAGATGCAGGGGCCTTGCCCGTCTCCTCGCCCTCCCCAATCGTGGACCTGGGGAGCAGGTCTCTGGGAGGTGTGCTGTCCCCAGGTCTCAGCAGCTGTCATGTGGGGAAAGGTGGCCTCCTGCCAGCTGGCCCAGAAGACACCACATTGTGCTACTTTCTACCTCCACACCCACCTTCTCGCCCAGGCTCGAATCTTCAAGTCTTCTCCAGCCCTCACAGGACACTGGACCTCCTCCTCCATACCCTTCGACCTTCCGGCCTCTCTTCAAAGTTATTTGGACATTTTTCTACTCACTGTGAGTAGAGGGTCTCCATCCTCCCTGTGCTATGCCGCCACAGGCACACGTGTGCCCACACGTGTGCACACATGCACAGATGCACTCACAGATGCACGCACACATGTGGTGCACACGCACAGTCTTGCAGAGGCTCTGCCTGGCCCCAGCGCCCCCGAGCGTTCCGAGGTGGGCAGGTGAGCCTGTCGCTCACAGTGTGCGGCCCAGAGTAAGCCCCAGGCCAGGTGATGCCACCAGCTCTCAGTGACTGGGGATCCCCTAGAGCAAGGGGACCCAGGGTAAAGGGACAGAAGCCCACCCCCATGGGGGAATAAAGGCACTGGGAGCCTGTCTGGTTCTCTCCAGCACTGGCTCCCAGGAAAAGGAATGTGTGACCTGAGTCTGCCTGTGAGGGAAGGACCAAGTGTTCATCTTGGAAAACTTCCCACCTTCGCATCGAGGCGCCAGGTGGCGCTGGGCACGAGGCTCACTCTGCTGGGAGGTGCAGCTTTTCCGTCCTTGCTCAGAGCCTGGTTCCAGGGTGCTGGCTGCTGCAGCAGGCCTGGGCCCCGCACTAAGCCCTCCCAGCCCCGCCCTAGAGAGCACCGTGCCCTCGGGGAGCAGGGTCCTGCTCGCCACCCACCTTTCATGGCCTTCCCTGCATGCGTCCCACCGGCCAGCAGCTGGTTGTCCTGCAGATAGAGCACCTTCAGTGCTGCGTCCTTCATTCTGGAACAGCAGGACAGTAGCACGCAGTCAGGGAAGGGCGGGCGTCCAGCCGCCCGACTCCCCTCTCTGCCTGCTGTGCCAATGGAGTGGCACAACCTTCTCCCAGCCCCGCTGGGCCCACGTCTGCCCGGAGGCTGGCCCCACAGCCTCCCACTGGGTCTGGGACTCTCCCGGTCTCACTGTTCAATCCTTTCTACGCCCAGCAGCCCTCCACGTGTCATGTTGGAAAGTCAGAGTCCCAGGTCCTCGCCCTGCTCTGCAGCCTCCGCGGCTCTCGCCGCAGACAAGCCCCTCGCCCCTCCGGGTCCGGTCTGCCCATTGCTGAGCTTGGACGAGTCAGGAATGCCCAGGCCTCTTCCAGATTCAACCCCCACCTTCAGTGATCACCAGTGATGCCCAGGCGCTTTTACCTGTCGGCCTCATATTCCTACTAAACTAGGAGTGTCTTTAAATGCCAAGTGCTTTCCTCTTCCTTTCCAAACGTATTTCACATCTGTGAGCTCAGCTGGCTTTCTGGGGTCCTGTGAGGGGGAGGTGTGCCCCACGGGGGCTCCCAGATGGTATGTGGGAAGGTACGCTGTGTACAGACTGGTTCGGTGTTGGCCAAATACACACGCATCTCTACTTCAAAGTTCCCATATGCCTTCACTCATGAGGAGACATAAAAAGCATATTTCCGCCCTGGCCGGTTTGGCTCAGCGGTTGGAGCGTCGGCCTGCGGTACAGAGAGACCCGGGTTCGGTTCCCGCTAAGGGCACGTACCTCGGTTGCAGTTTGTCCCCGGCCCTGGTTGGTTGTGCGGGTGGCAGCCACTTGATGTGTTCCTTTCACATCAATGTTTCTCTCTCTCTGTTCCTCTCTCCCCCTCCCACTCTACCTGAGCAAAAAATGGAAAAATGTCCTCGGGTGAGGATAAAAAAAAAAAAAAAGCATATTTCCCACACTTACTTTATCAGGGAGCCCCTCTGTGTACAGTAGGACTGGGGTTCCACAGAACACACTTTAGGAAAGGCTATCTAGGCTCAGTTCAGCGAGAGCAAGGACAAGTGTCATTCAGGGCTCTGATGTCCAGAGCACGGCCCCGGGCCCAGTCAGCGCACGCCCGAGGACAGACAGACGGCCTGACAGTGACCTTGTCACTGCTGTAGTTTACTCCCAAAGGCAGCAGGGGGCAGTGGAGCAGAGGGGCTGATGACACCAGGAGTGGCAGCTGGTCTCCTGGCTTCCACGCTCAGTGTGGACACAGGAGGCTGCAGCGCCACACAGGTGACTCCCCTGTCCCCCTCCCCATGCAGGAGCCCCCATGTGGTGGCTGCCTGACTGAAGAGGCAGCAAGGGGCTGTTCACAACTGCCCGGCTGCCCACCCCACTTGGGGAGCTGCGCTCCAGTGGTCGAGTCTCCTCCCTCCCAGAAAAGACTGGACCACAGGTCCACCTGCACTCACTTCCCCTGAGGACATGGCCAACTACGGGGCTCGGATACTCACCGGAAGCACAGGGCCCCGCTCAGAACCATCCTGACCTTCAGCGTGTGGACCGGCCTGTGGTGAAATAACAGGTGTTAGGTGGAGACAGGGGTTGAGCTGGCAGGGGCCTGGGGAGCAGGCAGCCTCCCGACACCCCCCCCCCAGCATGTGAACAACCCCCAAAGAACAAGGATCCTAGGTCTGGGTCAGGAGGGAACCCCAGTCCCGCTGGGAGGATGAACTAGCTCCCCAGGGACACCTGAGAGCACTCCCTTCTCCTGGCGGAGCCTCTGTGTCTGCCTGCTCCTGCTCCTGCTCCTGCTCCTGCGAGGATGAGCACCAGGATGCCTGGCCCTTTAATAATATGCTAGGGAGGGGCCCTGAAACTGCCACAGACAGGACGAGCAGGGTTCCCACGATGGCTTCCACCACCCAGGAAGGAAGGTTCTGAGACCATCTTCCTCCCGGCAATTCTGAAAACTCCCTTGGGTTTTCTAGCTCCTCCTGAGCACCTGGTTCCCGGACCTCAGGCCCTTTCGGACACAAAGGTGTCAGTGCAGAAGCAGCTCAGGGAAAGTAGACTTGAGAACAACCCCCTTCCTCCCTCCCTCTCTCCATCCTCCGTTCCTTCCTTCCCTCCTTCCCGCAATCCCTCGGGCCTGTGGAAGGTGCTAGAGGTGGGGCGCTCCTGCTTAGGAGACATTTAGTCTGTATTTGTTGTAGAAGAGCCTGAAAATCCAGATCGGCAAAGAAGAAAAACGTGATTTGTCTTCACTACTTGAGCACCAACGGAAACCCCGTAACACAGCTCTGCGTCTGCGCACGGGCACAGGTAACTAACTACCCTTGGCGTTCTCACGACCATCGGATCCACCTGCTGCTCGTGCACCCAACCAGCGGAGCATCTCTCCATACCACACACAAGTGATGATGTCATCACACTTGCTGGCTGTTGAGTAGTTCATTGTATAGATGCAACATCGTTTACTGATAGCAATCAAGTATTTGGTCTTTTATATTGTTGTTATTTGGGAATGGAAATCATGTTGTGACAGACATTTGTGTCAGCATCTCAGTTCATGTGTCTGATGATTTCCTAAGGAGATACAATCTCTCTCATGCTTTCTATGACTGATCTTTCTTCAGTCCCTAATTGGTAAAATAATATATGATTGTTTGATGATACAGGGCAGTGTTAATTTATCCATACACTGTGATCCATCTGAAGGAAAGGTAAGGAAGAGTCCAAGCATAACGACAAACAATGTAATTATGTCTTGAGTACCAATAATAACCATGCAATGTTAAGGCATACATTTGTTTGAAATTGTCTTCAGGCTTATGGACTAAGTGATCCTTAAAGTGTTCAGGAATAAATAAAATACCAAGTTTTTGAACAGATAGAAAATAATCAATTGTTCACATGATGCCCCTAATGTGATAAACACCTTCCAGAAAAATAAACAGTGTAGAGGTTACCTTATTACAAAATTAGTCAATGGGCCATAAACTGACCAAATAAAAATGACACTGAAATAGTTGCAAAAAGAAAAAGAACAAAACCAGAAAGAAATTCCAGAAGTTGTTGGTCTGTAGCTAAAGTAACTTGAAGCGACCGGGCTTTTATTTGCAAAGTGACTATAGAGAAGTGGACAGAATTTCACCTAAAAAGGTAAAAGGCCAGCAGCCCAGGCTGCCTTGTCGGAGCCCTGACCGCAGTGAATTGCACCACTGGGCCCACCGCGCGGCCACGCTGTCCTCTCCTGCCCAGTCACCAGGGCCGCACTCGCCCCGGGCGGTCTCCGCCAGCACCGTCTACGCCGCAACGCGCCTCAACGCAGTCAAGTACGAACGAATAGATGAATGGGCTAAGAAGGTGGAAGTGAGGGAGATAAAACAAACCCCTGTTAAGAAAAGTTCTCCAAACCTGAAGATGAGACAAAACGGTGTCTGCGTGTGCCTCCTGAGTCCTTTGGGAGTATCACAGCCCCAGAGATTCCTCCGTTCTCCAGGGAACTCACACCATTGTTGGACTTATTCATTACTTTGGATTAGATACCAGACTCTGTGAAGTTAGATTCGAGCTAAAGGAAGATCGATAATTTGCAAATTATTGCTGCCTGATAGAAAAGACAGCCCCAAAGGGTGCAGTTTGACTGCCTTTCAATTCATAAAGCAGTTTTCTTTTATCTAAGTTAGCCGAACTAGCCCACATTTCTCTCCGCTGTTCCTGACCGATCTTCGGAGTGAGCTTTGTCACCCTGCTAGTTCCTTCGTGAAGAGGGATATAGCTTTGACACATGCTTCCTATGTGTTTGTGTGCAAGTCATGTTATAGACTTTCTGAAAATTAACTAGCACAACCTAAGACCCAAATTCACACATCCTGTGTGGTAGTTTTAGAATATGTCCACAATTTTTTTTTTTTTTTATTGATTTTTAGAGAGAGAGGAAGGGAGAGGGAGAGGGAGAAACATCAGTGAGAGAGAACATCGATTGGCCACCTCCTGCACGCCCCCCCCCCCCACTGGGGATCGGGCCCACAACCTGGGTATGTGCCCTGACTGGGAATTGAACCGGCGACCTCTTGGTGCATGGGTCAACACTCAACTACTGAGCCACACTGTCCAGGCTCACAGATTCTTAAATACTCTGCCTTCAAGAGGTGGAGCTTGAGTCCCTTCCCTTGGGGTAGGCTGGACCTAGCCATTTGCTAAGGGGGATCAGAGGGGCCAGAGTGCCACTTCTGACCTTTGATGCTTCTGGGTCCACATTCTCTTAATGCAGAAGTAAGACCATGGGTGGACACACGGTGGCCTGCAGGCCAAGACAGGCCCACGTCTGTTTCATAAATGAAGTTTCCCTGGAGCACAGCTGCTCGTGTGCTTACGGTCTGTGGCTGCGCCCCGCGACAGTGGCCGAGGCGATGTTCGTAGTTGGTACACGGCCCTTTGCAGAAAAAGTTTGCTGAGTACTGGTCAAGACTGTCTTGTTTCAAGTCCTAAATCTGTCACTTATTAGCATGTGTCTTGGGTCAAGTTATTTAGGGTTTTTGTGTTTTGCAGTTATCTGTAAAATGGGAAGAAAAATAGTACCTCCTCAGGAGTGGTTGTTAAGATTAAATGAGCGACCCGGCCGGTGTGGCTCAGTGGTTGAGCATCGACCCATGAACCAAGAGGTCGCCGGTTTGATTCCCGGTCAGGGCACATGCCCGGGTTGTGGGCCTGATCCCCAGCGGGGGCAGGCAGGAGGCGGCCAGTGGATGTTTTCTCTCATCAATGTTTCTATCTCTCTCTCTCTTTCCTCTCTCTCTAAAATCAATTAAAAAAAAATAGTGAAAAACGATTAAGTGAGTCAATGCCTGTGAAATGTTTAGATTAGTCCTTGGCACATAGTAGGGGCTTAAAATCAGCTGCATCGTCATTGTCGTCACCATCAGCTCTGTGGCCTTGGGAATCTTGCTTCATCTCTCTGATTAGATGATTTATCTTGCCTTGTTTTTGTTCCTCCCTAAAGAGGACCGTGATGCCGCACTCCTGGCTGTCATGAGGACGGCATGAGTCAGAGGCGGGAAAGAGCAGGGTCAGCACTTAGCACAGACCCAGACACCTCCTGCACCCCGTGTGCCCCCTCCTCCTGCGCTCCTCCCAGGCGTGTCGAGAGGACACTGAGAATGTGGCAGAGGCCAGGTTTACACTGACCTCAATCTCAGGCTGACTCAAGACCGAACACCTGCTAACCTGTCTCACCGGACGGGAGAGGAGGAGGCCAGCTCAGCCCAGCGGCAGGACAGCGTGTGCTGTGGGGTTTGCAAAGTCCTTACAGGGGTGGCTAACGTGCTGCACAGTCACTGCCAGGCACACTCGCAAAATGGCGCCGAGCCCGGTCGGTGTGGCTCAGTGGATTGAGCATCTCCCCATGGACTGAGAGGTCCTGGTTCGATTCCCGGTCAGAGCACATGCCCAGGTTGTGGGTCAAATCCCCAATGGGATGCATGCAGGAGGCGGCCAATCGATATTCTCTCATCGATGTTCCTCTCTCTCTAAATTCAATAAAGAAAAAAAAATTGTTTTTTAAAGTAGTGCCGGCATTGCACCATAGACCTGGGAGGTACGTGCTATTCTCATCCCATTTCACTGAAGAGACAAAACGAGGCTTGGAGAGGATAAGTCACCCAAGGTACATATGAGTAAAAGATGGACCTGGTGTTGGTGCCCTGGCGTTAAATTGCACAGTGACTCACCCCATTCCCCACTGTGAACCGTGTAAAGTTTACAGATTCAAGCAGCAGAGGGCTGAGGGCAGAGCAGGGCCGGGACCTCCCTGCCAGGAGTCGGTGTGCAGGAAGGTTTTTTGGCTTCTCGAGAACAGGCTTCAGGAAAGATCGTGGCAACCGACGGAGTTGAGCCAAAGACACAGGCTCTGCCGAGGCAGAAAGGCAGCCTCAGGATGCAGACTTCTCAATTCTGCAACGGCTTTGTTGGCGTAGAGCAGCCGGCGGGAGCGATGGTGGTGACGCATGACACGTGGCCTCCAGGGAGCTGTAAGCAGACGGGGACTTCCACTCCAACTCCAGCCACGTCCCAGTGTCACTGTGGGGAGCACCGAGGGAGGTGCCACTTCGCCCATGGCACATTTGAGAAACACAGGGTCCTTGTGAAACTACAGGGAGGCTGTGGTCAGGGTGCTGCAGCTGAGGGCTCAGCCAGAGATGTGTTTGCTTAGAACCATGGCGCCTTCTGGGTGGGGCCTGGAGGAGGGCCAGTTCCACGAGCTGGATGGGAGCTGTGTGGGTAACACACAGGTGGGGCGAGGCTCCTGTGTGTCACACCCACAGGCAGTTTCTCCCAACTGAGTCACCAAGGGCAGGCCCAGGGCCACCAGCAACCTCCTCACCTCAGAGCCAGGTGAGAGACCTTCTGGGGCAGGTCCAGGTGTCCCTCCGCTGCACCTCGAAGCCCTCCAGAGCCCAAGGGCTCGCCTCCCAGGGCTACGTGGTTTGGCCATGGCTGGACCTCAAGGCAGGCCTGGAGCCAGATTCTGGAGCTGGGTATGAAATCGGAAACAAACCGAACGTGGCAAGTCAGCAAGCTGGTCTGGGTCACTCCCCTTGCTTCCCGGCCAGAGCGCAGGCTCTGTGCACGGCGGTGACCCCACTGGAGAGGGCTCAGCCAGGCTGGACGGGGCGCGCTGCACGCATGGCCTCCAGTCATCTACCCGGCCATCCAGCCGTCTGTCCTCCTGTTTCCCTTCTCTCCACAAAGGACTCGGAGCAGGGAGCCCCCACAGAGCCACACAGGGCAAGGAGAGC